TCCTCCTGCCTCAGCTCCTGAGTAGCTGGGACTACAGGCATGCGCCGCCATGCCCAGCTAATTTTTCTGTATAATTTTGGTTTTCCAATTAATTTCTTTCTATTTATAGTAGAGACGGGGTCTCGCTCTTGCTCAGGCTTGTTTTGAACTCCTGACCTTGAGCAGTCCACCCACCTCGGCCTCCCAGAGTGCTAGGATTACAGGCGTGAGCCACCGCGCCCTGCCAACATCTTATCTTCCTGTAAGCTAAAGAAACTGAGGAAACAATAATACTAGAGATGAAATAAAACTAGTGAGCTCATTCACAGATCTTTCTACTCCTCTTATTAATTGCTCAGTTATGTTGAAAATGGAATAGGCAGAGCTGCCTTGTTATGATTCTCTAGGCTTCAGTGCTGTGACTTCACTTCATGCAATCCCTGCTGTGGCAAAATGAAAGTAAGCAACAGGCCAATAGGAGACTAACTATACTGTGGAAAGTAATTATATACTTTTCATCTGGAGTTGTATAGTTTTTAATGAAAAATTCAAGATAAATTATACTCATTGTGTAAAAATTCCAGGTCCCAAGCAAAAGCAACAAAAGGAATCCTCCTTTGTAAGTTGTAGGATAAATTGATCTCCATTGCTTGAAATACTGTTACAATTGATCTGCCAGTAATTTCAATAATCCAGATAATAATATCTGCTATTTATTGAACAACTTCTATGAGCCAGTGTTCTAATTACCTATTGCTGCATAACAAATCACCCCAAAACTTAATGGCTTAAAGCAAAAATTTATTATTATCTCTCATGTTTCTGTGTGTCGACTATGCTCAGCTGAGCAGTTCTACTTGGGGACTCTCACGCAGTTGCAGTCAGATGGCAGCTGAGGCTGGACACATCTGAAGGCTAGACTGGGCTGGAAGTCCAAGAGGGCTAACTCACATGGCTTGTACTTGATGCTGACTATGGACTGGTCAGTTGGGGCTACTGTCTGTACTCCCTACAGATGGCCTTCCCCAGTGGCTTGGGCTCAGTGGTGTGCTGGACCCAGCTTGTGACGTACTGGAGCCAGCTTGTACCAGCTTGTGAGAACCAATTAGTAAATTTGGGGGAATTTTGTGAGCTGGCTGTTAAACATAGCCATTATTAAAAATTAAATTATATAAACTTACAATTAAATAATATTAAAACAGTGATTCTCAAAACTCATCACTTTCTAATTATTTTGCTATATTTTACTAATCTATGTTTTTGTGATTATTTACATATATTGTATCTGTGTGTGTATCTCTTACTGACTTCTTAGTTCAGTGACTATATGTTATAGTTTGTATTCAACCATGAAGGGAGAATTACATCATGAAAATTGGCAAATGCTACAAATCGGTACCCTTTTTCTGGGTAGACCTAATTGTTAAATATTTTTCAGCACACCATTGTTTCGGCTTCTTACAATATGCTGTCTGGGTTCTGAAAGGAAGCATCCCAATTGGGAATGTACCAAGAGAAAGGATGCAGACACTTTCGGTCTTCTTAAAAGTTAGTTCCATAGTTGGCAGTGTCACTACTGCCAAATTCTACTGGGCTAAACATTAACAAGCGTGCCGTGACTCAACTCCCTATTGACAAGGAGGGAATAGGTTGGTGAGCATTCTGGAGACAGAGGCATAGATGTTGTAGCAAAGAGTGATATTGAAGAACTCAAGCTTTGGAGTCAGAGGTGGGTGAAAATCTCTCATTATAAAAATCTCTCATTGTAAAGATGCAACAGCAAGGCATTATACATGCATTTTCTTATTTATTCATCACAGTAACTCCCATATTACTCATGGGGTACTAATATTATCCCCTTTCTACAAATTAAGAAATTAAGAGAGATTTTTACAATGAGAGATTTTCACCCACCTCTGACTCCAAAGCTTGAGTTCTTCAATATCACTTTTTGCTACAACATCTATGCCTCTGTCCCTTTTCTCCACAGCGTTGGGGGTTAGAACAGCTGTGCTTTGCAATCCTTCTACCTGACCTCCTGAGAATTACATTGTTTTCTCTTAATCACTCATTATCCTACCCTGATGGTGGGATGGACATAGACAGGAGACAGTTTTGTGAAAAGTTCTAGTCAATTTCATTAGCTCCTGATGCATCTTTAATATCATGGAGATAATAGAAATTGAGCACAGGAGAGAACCCAAAGGACTTTGACATAGGGTACCTTTTCTAACCCTGTTATATTAAGGAGTTAAGAAAAAATGAGCATTTAAATAAGAGAAGTGAAGAGCTCTTCTCCAAACAACATCTCTAATGCCTGTCAGCAAGATTGAAAGCTAAAGAAAATAGTTTCAACGTGAATACATTTTTCGTTCCGTTCTATTGGACTCATTGTTCATTAAGTTCCTAACTTACAAGGAGGAGAGAAGGATTCCACCAAAGTTAATAAACTTGATAGTTTACTTTTCAATTATATACATTACAATCACCATCCAACTGTTCTCTTACTCCACAGTGATTTTTTTTTTATAAAATGACGCCTGACAGTCAATTTTCTAAAACTCCCAACTCAATGCGGTGTTTTTGTTGTTGTTATGTCTGTTACTTTTTCTTCCACAAGAGAAAATTCTATTAGCATGTCTAAAGAAAATGTGTCACTCAGAAGGAGGGAGGTCAGCGTGAAACTCAGAACTTCTCTATCTTTCCGCCCACTCACTGCAAGCTGCAATACTCCCCATTGCCCTGACTCATGATTTCTGATCTAGGAATCATCAGAGCTGTGCTCGCTTTTCTAATTCTTGGCAAGGATCTCAAACTTGCATCTTCTGCAAGGAAGACAAGCCTGAGAAGCTCATGCATCAAATTCCCTGGCCCTTTTTCAAGGCACTGGAATGCCTGTTCCTCGATTTCCAACAATCCATTATGGCAGGGACTTATTTTATGCAGTAGAACCATATCTGACAAAGTTGTCTATAAGGAAAACAGATTTGATGGCTGGTGAGGGCCCACTTCCTGATTCTTAGCCATGTTTTTGCTGTAACCTCGCATGGCGAAAGGGGCAAAGGAGCTGTCTGGGGCCTCTTTTATAAGGGCACTGATCCCATTCATGAGGGCTCCACTCTCATGACCTGATCATTTCCCAAAGGCCCCATCTCCAAATGCCATCACTTTGAGGTTAGGATTTCAACATAGGAATCTGGGAAACATACACACCTGAGTCTATAGCATACACCTCACCAAAGAAGATATACAGACAGCAAGTAAGCATATGAAAAGTTATTCAACATCATATGTCATTAGAGAGTTGCAAATTCAAATAACAATGAGATACGACTACACACCTATTAGAACGGCCAGAATTCAAAACACTGACAACACCAAATGCTGGTGAGGATATGGAACAATAGGAACTCTCATTCATTGCTAGTGGGAATGCAAAATGGCATATGCACTTTGGAAGGCAGTTTGGCAGCTCCTTACAAAACTAAACATACTTTTATCATGTAATTCAGTAATCTCATTCCTTGTTATTTACCCAAATGAGTCAAAAACTTACATTCATTCAAAAACCTTCACATGAATGTTTATAGCAGCTTTATTCATAATTGCCAAAGCTTGGAAGCAACCAAGATGTCCTTAGTAAGTGAATAGATGAGTAAACTGTGGCATATCCAGACTATGGATTTTATGATATATGAATACCTTCATTAAAAAGTTTTTAAACTACATTGAGATATCAATTTTTGCTTATAAATCACTAAAGATCCAAAAGTCTGATAACATGCCGTGTCAGTGAAAGTGTTCTCAAACAGGCACTTTCACATCTTACAAGTGGGAGTATAAATTTAAGTGACACTTTGCAACAAGTTTTGTTAACTATATTCGTGCAAATGCAACACAGCATCGCCAGTTTTTGAACATGCTAAAGTTGAACAATGAGGCATTCAGTGTGGATTTGCTGCATCATTCTAAGGTGCATTGGCTATTGCAGGGACAGGTGTTAGCCAAAATTTTATCTCTGTGAGAACAGATAGTTAAATTGTATGAAGAACAGAATCAGCAATGTGAGTTATTGAAAGAAGATTTCTGTAGGAATGCAGCATTTCTTCGTGATATGTCAAACCAAAATGACTTGAATATTTCTTTGCAAGGTAAAACTAAGTCTATATATGATATGTTGGAAAAATCCAAGCATTTCAAAAAAAGCTACCTTTTTTCAAAACACTTCTTCAAAAGGAAATTTCAGATTAATATTTTCCCCAATTAGCAAAGATCATTGATGACCAGGATGATAAATCATTTGAAGAATGTGCAGCTGTTATAGACCTATTAATTGGAGATTGCAATGAAAGATTCACTGACTTTAAGAATCATGACATCACACTCAAATTAGCATTTCAGCCTCACCTAGTTGATATCACCAACACACCTAAAGAACTACAGATGGAATTGATTAATCTCTCAGTAGGTGACATTTTAAAGTCATTGTTTGATGCTAAGAAAGATCCAATTGAACTATGGAAAAATGCAGAATACCAATGCCTTCGGCAACATGCCCAAAAAATGCTTTCTTGCTTTTCGACCACTTCTTGCTGCGAATCTATATGCTCCTACCTAACCCAAATCAGGACGTCCTTAAGGTCACGAATGACTAATAGCCATCTAGAGGATCAGCTGAAACTGTGGACCTCCATGCTGCAACCAAATATTCAAATGCTTTCCAACAAAAAACAGACACAACGAAGTCATTTAAAGGTTTAACCTTAAAATTAATAAATAGTTTTCCTTTTTTGAAATTATTAAGTGCATAGTAGTTCGACTTTTACAAAATAATATACATTTGTAAGTATATCTAATTGAAGTTTCTTTAATGTGGCCTTATTTGATTACAGCTAAATTAATGCAGCCCTCCAGCATGAAAAGTTTCTCCACCCCTGGACTGTACTCTCTCTGGTTTCAAGTCCAGTAGGCAAACTAACTGAGGTTCCATGATTTCTCTGATGTGCACAAAACAATCTTACCATCACTTATGGTAATATCAGCAAGATCCACAATCTTGTCAGGGAGTTCTGGAAGCAATTTGCATTGTTTGAACCTTGGTTTTTCCCACTGAGCTTTGCCGGTGTTGACGCTGATTGAACTGAAAAAAGAGAGGAGAGAACTTTCTCACTGGAGGATGAGGCAGGGATAGTCTTAAAGCAAATGGTGAAAGAATAGATGTATCTTTGGCATGCCTTCCCCTCACCTGTTCCCAGCCTCCTAGCAGAGAAAACAAAGGTGGGAAGCCATTGCTTCTTTGCAAATTGAAGAAAACTTTGCTCTTGGGAAGCAAGGGATACTAGGGCCACATGTGGGGAGGATAAATAGGCAAGAGAGCCAGGAATGGGGCATGATGATGTCCAGCTGAATGAGAGTCAAGGCAGAGATGTTGCCCCCTTAGACATGACCTCTTACCTTCTTGTTCCCTTCTTATCCATATATTTAGGGGAAATTCCTTTTAGGATGCTGTCTCTATCTCAGTATATTAATTTGGTTTTTTTTTTTGAGACAGAGTGTCACTCTGTTGCCCAGGCTAGAGTGCCGTGGTGTCAGCCTAGCTCACAGCAACCTCAAACTCCTGGGCTCAAGTGATCCTCCTGCCACAGCCTCCCGAGTAGCTGGGACTACAGGCATGCTCCACCATGACCAGCTAATTTTTTCTATATATTTTTAGTTGTCCAGCTAATTTCTTTCTATTTTTAGTAGAGATGGGGTCTCGCTCTTGCTCAGGCTGGTCTCGAACTCCTGACCTTGAGCAATCAGCCTGCCTTGGCCTCCCAGAGTGCTAGGATTACAGGCGTGAGCCACCACACCCGGCCATGTATCTCAGTATATTAATTTACTCAAGGCCCCCGTAGCTTATTGGCCCTCATTATCTACCCTCCCTCATGCCTCATCCATTTCAACCAGGTTCATTTCAAGTCAGCTAACACATTTATCGAGTATCCACTGTGTCCTAGGGCTGGTAATAGGGAGCGCAAACAGGGCAGGGCCTCAGTCCTCCCCTCAGGAGCTTGGTGCTCCAACATTAGGCCAAATATGAGATGAAAAGCTGTATAAACAAAACTGAATCTATCAAACCACTAAGCAAGAAGTTATTTTCCACGCTTGAGCTGAGCTGAATGCTAAAAGGACAGAGATGGAGAAAGAACCCCCTCCACCCCAAACAGAGCAAACAGTAAAAGCAGAGAAAAAGACACGAGGAAGTGCCCATTGAGTCCAAAGCGGCAAATGGTCTTTTTGACTGGAGTGCATGGTAAAGCGTTGGGGATTGCTGAGTGAGATAGCAGGAAAGGGAGTCTGCAATCTGGAGGACTGTATTTAGGTGTTTGGACTTAATTGTGGGTGCAATGTGGAACCGAAGCAGTGGCATGATGGCAGCCATACTTCAGGAGAATCATGCTGGGAGCAGTGTGGCATATAGATGGGCAGCAGTGGACAGTTAGAGGGCAAGGAGACTGCTCTAATAGTGGGCAAAAGATAGTAAATGGCTTGCACTACGGTAGTGGCAGTGGGGTTGGAAAGGCAAGGCTAAATGTGTGCTCTGACTGTGACCATCAAAGCTGCATGACTCGCTGGCTGATGAGATGTAAGGAGGAAAAGGTAGGATGTAGTCCTCAATATTGCTTTCTAAAAGAGTGCTTTTAAGCCTCTGTCAAAACCTGCTGCCCCTCGGTCTTATCCACTTAAGGTAATGGCATAAACCATTAACAGCAGAGAGTAAGAAAAGAAGGCTGATGATTTTAGAAAGGAAAATGATAAAGTCAACAATAGAAGCATGATTTAGTAAATTATTATGGCCCATCAACTAGATAGTTTCCAAGGTCATTTTTTGAAATGATCATTAAGAAGATGAATGTAAAACATGGAAAATGTTTGATAAACCACTGAGTTGAAAGGGCAAATCACATTATTGATATGAGTGCAGTGATTACCACTACATAAAACTTAAAGGCACACAAAGAAAGGCTAAATGAAAAAAAAAAAATGCCAACCTAAAAACAGCTGTGCTTGGGCAGTAGGGTTGTGGGTGACTTTTTTTTCTATGTCTTCTCCTTTGTCTTCTTGAAAATTCTTATTGTGTTGCTTGTGTACATTTAAGTAGGTCCAAAAGGTGAAAGAAAGAAAGACTGGCAGTACAGGTGCAGGGAGAGAGCATATTCAGGCAAACGGCATAGAAACATGGCCCTGATTAAACAGATCTTTGTGTATGTGAAGTAGCAATTAGAACTAGCCGGTACATACCAGATTCTTGTGGCGGTTCCATCCTCATTTTTTATGCATCTAGTTTGTGCTGTCTCCGTAGGGTTGGTTAATGGCCACTTATATGTCCCTTTATATTTAGAGGCTGTTTCATCGGCTTTGCACTTTCCTGGATCTACAAGGAAAATGTATGCACATTTTAAAGGGCAAGAGACACCTGAAAGTACCATGAACATCCATTATGGCACATCATTATTACCCTGCACATAAACATTATCAAATAAAAGAGAAAACTTTTTCTGCCAAGCCATTTAAACCAGACTTCACTGAAGATAGCATTAAATGGAGTCTTTAAAAAAAAAATAAGCCACCCAGTGTAACTCCATGCTTTGTCCTTTTCATTTAAAACCACCGGTTGACAGGAGAACTTTTTGTTTTGTTTTAATGAATGCATATGCATTGAAAAAATTCAAGCCACATAAAGGGGTGTAAAGTAAAAAGTCAAAAGATACCACCTACCAATTACCCAGCTTCTGAGGCATGCCCTATTATCACTTTGATGTACAAAGACAGGAGACTATAGGCAGACTTCTCTCTCTGGAAGGCCCCTCCCTTCCTAATGGACTCTGGGGTGGATTGGGTTTTAGTACGCTCAGTGTATCTAACATGACCAATATACAAGGGGGAGCACTGTTTCTGGTGCTGGTGCTGAAGTACAGGGTGGACTCCTCCACAGAGGGCTGCCAGGGCAAAGTTTTGCTGCCAGGCATTGTGACATTAGGGAAAATGTGACCTGAGCTAAGTTTATGTGATAAGTTCCCAGTTTTTACTGAGCACCCACCAGGTACATGACCCTGATTCCAGAAGTCTTTCGCTCAGGTACTGACTGAGTGGCCCAAGAAATGGCCCAGCCAGCCTTGCCCGGTGACTCCAGTCTCCTCTCTGAGTGACAATGAGAGGTGCCTTCCTCTGGCACTCTCAGGACACATTCATCAGCATCATTTGCATGGTGGGCTCTCCCTGTGGCTTCAACAACACTTCTCTGCCTTCCATCTCACTCTCACCCTTGCACATTCACACTCTGCTACTTAAGTCTGTCACCAAGGATTATGCGCTCTAATGCCCATGTGTGTTATCTGGCTGAGCTCAATGTTTTATTACAGTCTACTGGGGAAAAGGAACAAAGCTGCAATAGGAAGGAGATAGAGTGGCCTGGTAGCCTTTCTCTTTTACCATTAAGACTTTGCTAATCTGAAAATGCCAATGAGAGAAATCAGGGACATTTCCCAGATCACTTGCCAAGATGAAGAAGATGGCTGAATCAATCAATAAATTAACAAATATCTATTGGGCATCTATTGTGTGTAATGAGGAAGCTCTTCAGGTCTCTGGGTCTTTATGCAAGAGAGCCAATCCTCCGACTCCATTGATGGTCTGGCCTCTGCTAATACCCAGAGCCAACCAACAGTCTCTGGTAGCCCCTCCAGCACTCTGTTCCTTCAGAAGCTCTTAGAGGTAGAAAGGTCAAGTGGGTCTTGAGGATATAGAAAGGAACATAAACACAACTTCTTTTCTCTCTGAACTCAGAATCCCTTACCATGTATGCATTATGAGTTTTATAAGGGGAGTAAATTCATACTGAAATACCGCCTACCCCCCAAAATTACCTAGTTTTTTCACCGCAACATGTTCAGACTTTACTAATAACGTCAATTGAGCTTGCGTTAAGTTTCCATGCGTGAAGTTGCCATGTATTTGACTTTTGATCCTGCTAATCAATTCAGTGGGTGCTAAGGAAGAGTTGGCCTTTATGATGACCTGACAGACACAGCTAAAAAGAAGAGCAAAAAATAAAAATGTAGCAATTATGTCAACGGAGGAAAACTTGGCTTGCTGAAATTCTGTACAGCTGACTTAATCGGTAGTTTATAAATGTCAAACATTTTAAAGCTATTAAGTGGCAACTCTTAAGAAGTGATGGAAGACAGCATATTGAAATCTTCTGATAAATTTTCTCATGTTCAAAACAGACAATTAAGTGCCCACCAATTCATGAGTGGATCAATAAAGTGTGGTATATGTATATGATGGAGTACTATTCAACTCTAAGAAACAATGGTGATATAGCACATCTTGTATTTTCCTGGATAGAGCTGGAGCCCATACTACTAAGTGAAGTATCCCAAGAATGGAAAAACAAGCACCACATATACTCACCAGCAAACTGGTATTAACTGAGCAGCATCTAAGTGAACACATAGGAACTACAGTAATTGGGTATTGGGCAGGTGGGAAGGGGGAGGGGGACAGGTATATAAATACATAATAAGTGAGATGTGCACCATCTGGGAGATGGTCACACTTGAAGCTCAGACTTGTGGGGGGAGGGGAGCAAGGGCATTATTTGAAACCTTAAAATTTGTACCCCCATAATATGCTGAAATAAAAAAATTTAAAAAATTAAAAATAAAAACCTATTTCAAAAGAATGGCCAGCAATATTTGCATTGTGTTGCAATTGGCCAGCCATGAGACTTCTCTAGGAATTTGTATTAATTAATAGAAAAAAATGGAGAACTCAGGACTTATTATTTCAGAGAAAACCTTTTATTCTCTGGTCTCCAATTTATCCATCATTATTGCAATAAGGTAAATAGGCACATGTTCAATTAGTCTATAAAGAAGTGTTCTGCAAAAGGCCTATTTCTATAATTATAGATTATATTTATATTATATATGATTATATAATTATTATATATTATATTATATTTATATAGATTATATTTAATTATAATTTCTATAATAGTAGCAATAAGAGCTAATATTTGTGAAGCTCATGCTCCACGTGTTTTGCTTCATTTTACTTCATTTCACAACAACATTATGAGGTCATGCTATTATTATTATTCCCACACTACAGATGAGGGAACTGAACCTCAGGGCAATGACATTTTCCGTGGTCACAAAGACCTATCCAGTATTTCTGTCCATGAAAAGATAGGTTATAAAAGAATAGGACTGTTTTTGACCTCATCCTCTATAGTGAGGTCCTCCAACATTCTAAATTCCTTTAATATTTCATTAGGGAGCACATTTCAGATTTGCAAATTTACCTATATCCTTTTTTTTTCCATTTCCATTTGTAGATATAGCTTTTTAAAGAACGCATTTGCTAAGTTTCCAAGCAGCTGTTAAAAGTTAGATGTATTAATACCATGTTTACTCAAAACTTCTCTTTATGTCCAATCTAAGTGATGCTTCCCCCTCCCCTGATCCATACTTGGTGAAGTCCCTGTGCACACTGCCCATTTCATTTGAAGCCTGTCACTTCTCAGCTTTCATCTTCCCAGTCTGCAGAGGACTCTTCCTTTTAAACCTCTCCTCTTGCTTGAGACAGACACTCTACTCGATTTGGGTGCCCTCTTCATGCATCTTCTTTGGCTGTATGTCCTTTGTGCTGTGCATCAAGCACATCAATAATAGCCAGTGTTCCAGGAGGAACTGGACCACAAGTCTAAACAGAACCAGAACCAAGGCTGCATTCCATGTTGTTCTGTTTGTTTGTTTGTTTTTTTCAATTTCCCTGCTCAGTATTTTGTGAACCTTTTTGACCACAGCAAACACTTTATTCCCCCATTCCCAAATTATGACCACTTTGGACCCCATTTTCTTTTCACTACAAAGAGGCAGCAGGCAGACTGCTAGGCTATGCTGAGACCAATCAAAACAGCTTATTTAATGAAGGCAATAGCCCAATTACAGCATCTGTAAAATAACCACTGGGTACTTTGATCTCCTTCTGACAACTCTGACCAATAGGCTGCACATACAGAATTAAATGAAATGAAAATCAGAACTAAATGTACCGGCTATGAATAAACTCAGCTCCTACCTGTATAGTACATGGGAAATTGTAGCCATTCCTTGCCCTTCTCTCTGTTCCGACTAATGCAAAAGAGAAGTACATAGTCACTAAAATCTTTAAACAAATGTCACAATCAAGTACAAGGCTTATTGTTAACAACAATTATAATTATGTCTTACATTTATGTAACCCATTGCCATCTACAAACCACCCTCAAAAACATCAACGCGTTTAGCCCTCACACCAACCCTGTAGGATGGGCAATGCAGAGATTGTCACCCCATTTTCTAGATCAGGAAGCTGAGTCTCAGAGAAGTTAAATGATCTGCCCAGTATCACACAGCTGACAAGTCACAGAACTGAGAGCAGGATCTAAGCCTTCTGGATCTGGATATTAACATGATGGTGACAATAGTAAACACTACTAAATATCTACTATGTTCTAAGCCTTGTGCTAAACGCTTAACATAAACTATCTCATTCTATCGTTCCAACAGACCTCATCTTACAGATGAGGAAACTGAGGCACAGAGAGGTTAATTAAGTTGCCCAAGTTCTCATAGTCAGGAAGTAGAAGATCAGGGGTTCCATCCCAGGAAACTTGATCACATTATCACCAAAAAGCTTTTACACCTCTTTTTTGACAGAAATTTTAGTTATATCATGCTATCTCTAAGGTGTTAATCTTAAAATTCTGACTCGGCTATTTACAGAAAGTATTTTAAATAATGGCAGATAATTTGGAATGCATTGTAGCCTTGATTGTATTTTGTATAGTCAAAATATTTATTTTGTACTGAAATACCTTGAAAGCTGTGTGCTTACTAATCATTTTAGAATGTACCATTGTAAAGCTTTGAGGGACTGGGATAAATGCTGAGAATTGGGGCAAGGATGACGAGAGATTGTTTTGCCACACTCTGACTTCAAATCTATACACATAGAGGGTGGATTTATTTTGTGAATGCCAGTCTTGCAAACAATCGTGTCATTCTTGGAAGAGCCAAGCTTTTTTTGCGAGATGTCTACAAGCAAGAAATTCCATTTACCACTTACAATCCCTAAGTCATTTCACACTCCCATAGACCACAAAATGTGCCTTGAAAAACTGCCACATGGATAGTTCAGAAAAGCAGGATGGTTTTCTTGATGGGTTCTTGTGCCAATCCCAAAGAAAGCAATGCAGTTTGACCCTCAGTTGTCACAACTGAGCCTTGCCTGATAACATACACTTGGGTGGAAGAGCTATTTACTTACATCTAATCAGGTATAGGATGGGTCACAAGTAAATTCATTTTGAAAAATTACTTACAGTAGCTCGATCCATGGTCATCTCTTCCTCTGAAATGTCTCTGTATCAAAAGCATTACAAAATTATAGAAAAATGAAACATAACACCAAACACACAGGGCACAAGAACTGGAGAAAGACAACTCTAAGGCGAAACAGTAGAATCCTCCCAGCTTGGAATTCAAATAGAGCTAAGGCTCCAAAGGGACACTTTGAATGAGCATGATTATTTGCATACCAAAATGCTGGTAAGCCTTTGACTTATTAATTCTGCTTCTGGAAATCTATCCCATATTGCTACCAGTAAAAGGCTATACAAATATACATACAAAGGTGGAAGTTACAAATGTCTGTCACTAGATAATTGGATAAATACATTATGGCACACATATATAGAAGAATCCTGTGCAGTTGTTAAAATGAATATGCAAGATCTATATGTTTTGGCTTAAAAAGATGTACCCGATGTGTTATAAATCAAGAAAATTAAATTGTAAAACAGTATGTAGAGCAGGATTTTATTTTCTTAGTAAATGCATGAAAACTAATCTAGAGAAATGTAAGACCGGCGTGGTGGCTCACGCCTATAATCCTAGCACTCTGGGAGGCCCAGGCAGGAGGATCGCTCAAGGTCAAGAGTTCGAAACCAGCCTGAACAAGAGCAAGACCCCGTCACTACTAAAAAAATAAAAAGAAATTAATTGGCCAACTAAAATATATAGAAAAAAATTAGCCGGGCATGGTGGCACATGCCTGTAGTCCCAGCTACTCAGGAGGCTGAGGCAGAAGGATTGCTTGAGCCCATGAGTTTGAGGTTGCTGTGAGCTAGGCTGACACCACTCCACTCTAGCCCAGGCAACAGAGTGAGACTGTCTCAAAAATAAATAAATAAATAAATAAATAAATAAAGAGAAATGTATCAAATAAGCTGTTAACAGGAGTTCTTGGAGGGGTGGAGGAAGGCAGGTATTCAGAGATTTTTGCTATCCATGTTATATACAATATTTCTATAAAGCTCTAAGATTTTACAATGGCCATGCATTACTTTTGTGATAAGGAAAACTAACAGACACATTTTTTAAAAAAGAATGCTGTATAACCCAGACATCTCCAATTTTCTTTTATTAACTATTATGGACTGAAAGTTTGTATCCTCCCAAAATTCATATGTTGAAGCTTAATCCCCAATGTGATGGTATTAGGAGGTGGGGCAAAACCGTCATGAATGGGATCAGCACCTTTATAAGAACAGGCAGGAGAGCTTCCTCTCTCTCTACTCTCTGCCATGTAAGTACACAGCAAGAAGAGGTCTCTCACCAGACACTGAACCCACTAGTGCTTTGTTCTTGGACTTCCCAGCCTCCGCAACCGTGAGAAAAAAATTTCTGTGATTTAAGCCACCCAGTCTATGGTATTTTTGTCATAGTAGCCAGAACTGACTAAGACAATAACCAACCATGGATTTACTTCCATTCATTTATACAAATCATCTTTAATCTATTTATATTTGAACATGTAAGAGAAACCAAAATCCCAGTGTACAAAACATAGGCTATCACATTTAGTGTTTTAAAAATCAACCTATCATGGCTTAACAGAGTCATGCCTATTTTTCAAAGGTCTTCTTCTGAGAGTCCCTTTAACAGAGGACTAGTATATGTGCAGGGCAAGAGTAGAGGAAGTATTTCTCAGGTGACCAATTGCCTTTGCCAAGTTTCCTTGATACCACCCAGTGCCTGTCCATTTCATTGCAATCACCTCTGGAAATTTGTGCTTCAAGCAAGTCTTGGACTAATCAACATTATCACTTTAAACATTTCAAGTTCCCTTTGTAATTTCTAGTTCCTGAAAGTGCATGATCCAAATATAAAAGGTTTTATAAATCCTCATGCATTGGGCATGCCTAGTCTTTCATCCTTTTAAGGCATGATTTTTTCTCTAAGTCACAGAATCATAGAATTTTAGAAATTAAAGTAGCATTAGAGGTAACTTAGGTAACTAATTCCATTGCTTCCCCTATTTATTTTGTTTTGTTTTGTTCTCCCATTGGCTTTCCAGCCTCCAATAATAATACAAAGTTCTTCATTCCAAAGAGGATTTATACTCAGAAAGGAAGATGCAATGAAAAATGTGACAGCCCCTAAATCCCAGACATAAACAACAGAAAACACCTCTGGATAGGCACAGACCCACAGTAGATGTCATTCACATACCTGCTTTTAATTTGGATGATCAGATTAGTAATAGAAAATTCACTGTCCTGAAATACAGAATTCAACTGTACAAGACAAAAAAAAATCAGTTTTAGTATTCTGCTCCTCTATTTTAACCTAGCAAAGTCACCTGGGATGTTGTGATCATTAAACTACATTCATTATTGCAGCAGGCTCAACACTTCCATCTGTTCCACTCAGTCTTTCAGTTTACGTTTTACCCACTGTTGTGGGCTGAATTGTTTCCCCTTAAAATTAAAATATGGAAGCCCTAACCCCGATGTTATATTTGGCGATGAGGCCTTTAGGAATGTCATTAAGGTTAAATGGAGTCATAATGGTGAGGCCCTACTCCAATAGGATGGGTGTTCTTATAAGAAGAGGAAGAGGGACCATGGATGCGTGCACACAGGAAATACCCTGTGAGTACACAGCAAGAAATTGGCCATCTGCAAGCCAAGGAGAGTGGCTGCCCCAGAAACCAACCCTGTCAACACCTTAATCTTGGACTTCTAGCCTCCAGAACCATGAGGAAAGAAATATCTGTTGTTTAAGCACCCAGTCTGTGGTATCTTGTTATTGCATCCTGAGCACAATAATGCACTCACCATTTTCAAGCACTTATAATCATGGCATATACACTTGAAAATAAGTGATGATAGGGAGAGTGGGCAAGCAGATATGATCATTCACCATTCAGGAGGGGGGCTGCAAGTTAGTATCACCTATCTGGGAGGCCATTTAGTGATAGCTATTAAAATGTAAAATGTTTACCATTCTTTGGTCTATCAATTCCAATTTTAGGAATTTATGCTATAGAAGTACTCAAGTGCCCTGTAATCTATTGCAAAGGCATTGTTTTCAGCATTGCTTCTAAACAGAGAAAAAATAGAAAAAACACAAATATCCACCAATGGATGCCTGGATTTAAAAAAATACTACATCAAACCATGTAGTGAAATATTATATATCTGCTAAAAGTGTATGATCTATATTCACCAGCATGAATATGCTCAAAGACACATAGTTAAGTGGCGGGGGTGGGAAGCAAGTTGAAGAATAGCATAACTGGTATCATTCTAATTATTTTTGTAAAAGAAAACACATGCATCAATGTTATAATATGTACTGAAAGAAATCTAAAATAATATATCTTAAACTATTAAGAGAAGTTTAAGCTATTAATATGCAGCAGTATTAGAAAGGACACTTATTTTCTGGGTTTTAGATGTCAATATCTGAATTTTCTACATAACATGTATTAGTTTTGTTATCAGAAAAAATATAAAGATAAATAACACATTCATTGTGGCTGGGCACGGTGGCTCACGCTGTAATCCTAGCACTCTGGGAGGCCGAGGCGGGCGGATTGCTCAAGGTCAGGATTTCAAGACCAGCCTGAGCAAGAGCGAGACCCCATCTCTACTAAAAATAGAAAGAAATTATCTGGACAACTAAAAATATATAGAAAAAATTAGCCGGGCATGGTGGCACATGCCTATCTATAGTCCCAACTACTCAAGAGGCTGAGGCAGAAGGATCACTTGAGCCCAGGAGTTTGAGGTTTCTGTGAGCTAGGCTGATGCCATGGCACTCTAGCCCAGGAAACAGAGTGAGACTCTGTCTCAAAAAAAAAAACAAAAAAACATTCATTGTGTTAGAGGTAGAAAAAAATAAAATAAAATGCAGGAAACAAAACTACTTAAATACAATGGCATAAACTTTGTTATCTACTCTCCTACTTTCCCCAAATAGAAAAATTTGGCAAAGGCTCATAATTTGTGCCAGTGGAAGGAAATGTACAGATATTAACAAATGAAAATAATAATAGTCCATAAAAGCTTTCAGCATTGATACTATGAAAAAGAGATTGTATACATCCTCATGGTATTGTTTACAGAGTAGACAGATCTGCAGCAAAAAACAAATCAAAACTAATTACCTGTGAAATGGATTATTGGTAGAAAAAAGTAAAGCCTAGTTTTAATCTATTCAGTCTTTGTCATATATATATATTTGCATATGTTTATATGTACCATTAATATTCAAAATATTATTTTACCCAATTTTTTGTAAATTCATTTATAACACTGGTAATAGGGATCCTTGGCTCTTCATCATAGACAGAGAAGCTCATTTCAGTATTGTAGAAGGAAACTGTAATTAAAAATAAGGAAGTTAATTTTATTCATTTAATTCAAAATAATGACTTCTCTGAATTTGGTTAAGAGTACTCTCCATATTAAAGCAAACAAAACAGTGATGTCTCATTCCTAATCTTTGCTTACTTTAACTCCAAGGTCAAGAACCAGCTCTTTCAGCTCCATATCAAAAAGCAAAACAGGATGTTACCATCCTATTTTTGCTTTAATTTTTTAAGCATTTCCCTGATTTCTACAGTTGATAGACATTCTACACATTCTCCAAATTCTCCACTTTCATTGGTCAATGGATTTTCAATTCATCCAATGGTCAAGCTGGACATTATCTCACCAGATCATTTGTCCTTAGAAAATAACTATATTTTTCTTCCTATGCCTTCCTTTCTGCTTCAGGTTATTCTCTCCTTATTTCCCTCTTGCTCTTGTATATCCTATCAAATTTCTATTTTGGAATCTTAAAAGTTACAGAAACATTCAAAATTTGAACAATATGAAAATCAAATACTCCCTGGCCATGGATAAATTTTCCTAGTCAACTAAAGGTGGGGATTGGGGAAGGCTGAGACCTGCATAAGAGGAATTCAAAGGGGAAGATAGGACATCTTTTGGTGTTTTCTGGTGTGTGGTCAACATGATCAAACCTAAGACCATATGATCCTCTCACTGGGAAGAGGTGAAGTTTCTAATACATGTTCACATTGGAAGAATCAGAGTCAGAACATCAAGAACAAACAAAATGGGAAGAAAGGAGGCTTAGAAATTGTCATGCTGAATGAAAAGATACATTTGCATTATATTTCAATAAAGCAAACACAAGAAAGATGGCTAGAGAATTCTGTGTTTGGACAAGGTACCCACTGTACCCACTGTCCAAAGGAGATAAGAAACATCTGCACCCTTCTTCATTCTTTTCTACCTTCAAAGAACTGGCCACCTTGGAGAACACGTGGCCCTTTGTGCATGCATCTGTTAAGGATACACTGCACATATTATGGAGCAGTACCTGTGGACTTAGCAGCAATAGGCAAAGTTGATGCTTCCATAGATACAAAGGATGATGTGGAGTCCAGCCAGGTTGCCTCAAAAGAGGAAGATACTAGTGAAGACACAGTTGTTGTAGAAGGATGTGTCACTCCAGTGGATATGAGTGGAAATGAGGTTCCAGGAGCAGCAGATGTGGTAGTGATAATATTTAGAAGGGAGTCCAATGTGGGTTTAGGAAAAATTAAAGTAGCAGGTGCTGCTGTAACTGGAAGTCTGCTCCATGCAGATGTTATTGTAGGGCTAGGCAGAGGCATGGAACCAACAGATAGGGTGTGGTCAGTTGTAGAAGGTGACATACTCATTCCACTAAAGAATGGAGGTTGAGACACAGTCCTGGAGTTGGTAGTCACAGTGGTTCTGGTGGATGCCTCAGGGGATGTGGAAATGTACACATTGTTATCTGTGATTTTTATAGAAATAGGGAGAGAAGTTGGGAAGCCAGTAGTGATACTGCCCATTGTAGGTGAAGGAGTGGTTTGGGTGAGTATGGTGCTTACAGTAGGAAAAGGTAGTGTTGTAAGGTTAGCGAATGGATACATTGGTATTGTATCAGAAGTCAGAAATGTGGATTTTGAAACCTCCACTGTAGAAGAAGTTATAACATGAGGAGCATTAGATACAGAAGTATTTGTGATAGCTGCCACTCTACTACTGCTCATGGCAGATAGGGAGCTGTTAGTAATCCCAGGTAATATGCCCAGAGTTGTAGCCTCATCTCCTTGTGATGAGTGTTGGGTTGTTAATAGAAATGGCGAAAATGTGGTCTTTGAAATGGAGGAAATAGCTTCAGCATTCTTAGAACTGTGTAGATAGGAGGGAGTGGTGCCTATAAATGGAGTCACTGTCCCAGCCATAATAGTGGTTGGAATGGTTTTCATAGAGGAAAATGTTGGCTCTGTTGGAGAAAAAGAGGATGTAGGCGTGATCCTTGAAGGTAGCTCTATCATTTCTGAAGTAGTGAGAGCAGAGGAAACCATTGTGCTTTTTGAAGTAGGCTCAGCATATGTCACAGGGGTGATATCCAATGTAGATGTTTGTATGGTTATAGTAGTTCTAGGGGTAATTGAAGACAATCGAGTAGAGAATGACCCAACTATTGTGGAAATGTCAGAAGAAACTGCTGTGGATGAGAAAACAGAGTCATTAACTGGCATGGAGGACATCTCAGACATAGGCCCAGAAGTGACTATAGAGGGACTTTTCAAACAATCTGGATGTGTTGTTTTAGAAGACCTACTTATTAGTATTGTGGGAGTGTCAGAAGCATTTTTGGAGGTGAAGACAGTGACATTAACTGGCAATGAAGACATCTGGTAAATAGGAATGGATGTTGCCACAGAGGTTTCCCTAAGAAGTGTCGTAGGTACATTTGGAACAGAAAGGGCTGGAGTGATCCTGTCAGTAGAAATCATTGTAAAATTGGCATTATATAGTCCGATTGTGGAGAGAGACGAGGACTCAGGGAAAGTCTGTGTGCTTTCAGAAATGGAAGAGGCAACTGAAGTCACCTTAGGCTGTGTCCTAAGTGAAGGCAAGTGTGAAAGAGTTGTGGTTATGTTCACAGGATTTGATATTCTGGTGGTTCTGGAAGTTGTAGTATCTACAAATGAAGTATCCTGGTGGTATGAGACAGGATGTGTCACTGAGGTGGAGGTTACTATCATTTCCACAGTCCTGGGAGTATATACTGAAAGGGCACTCTTGCTTTCTTTTTCAGGAGGCAAAAAAGTGGTGATTGTCAGAGATTGTGAAGGGAGAGCCAATTTCCCACTACTGGTAGACATTTCTGAAATGTCAACATCTACTGTGTTACTTGAGGTCAAAGTAGGTGTGGTCTGTGTGCTCCCAGAAGTGGGAGATGAAGCTGAATTCCCATCAGGTGGAGTCCCAAGTGTAACCTCTGAAGGTGAATGTGTTTGGTGAATGGAAATTTTTGTGGTCTCATAAAATCCTGTGCCTGTCATTTCCAAGGATGAAGTACCCTGGGAATGTGAAATAAAAGAATTCTTTGATGGGGATATTTCTGTCACCTCCATAGTTTTAGGAGTTTTCACCAGGGAGCTGGTCATCTGGTCTTTGTCAGATGGTAAGATAGAGGTGCCAGTCAACAATTGGCTGGAGATCGGTGTGTTTACAAGATGTGTGGCAGATTGAGAAATGTGACCATCTACTGAGGTAGTGAGCTCATTGGCAGAGGTATGTGAGAACATGGTCTCATCAACAACAGGGGTCTCTGTGGTGCCAGTAGCCAAGCTAACATCTCCACCAGCACTGAAAGTATATGGAAAGCTGAGAGCATAGGTAGAAGTCTTCTCCACTTGAGATATGGGTTGAGTTGTTCCTGGTGTAGATGTGGTTGATATCACGTGAGTGGAGGACACAATAGGAATGTTGTTAAGGGGAGATTTTGAGCAGACAAGAGTGTGTGTGGATGGAATTACTTTGTCAACTGAAGTGGAGGAAACAGTGGTCTCAGCCTTAGCTGTCACAAGAGTGGGGGTTTTCAGCGAGGGGAGTGAAGTTTCTGTCAGAGAGGGAACTGCCATGGGTGTCATTCTGACAGAGATCACCGAGGCCTGTGAAGTGGTATGAATCAAGTCTCTGTGGGTAGGCATGGTATCGCTGGTCACAGAAGCAGTCTGATCCAATGGTGGCACCAGTGCTGTGGTCACTGTAGTTGATGATGTATTTGAAACACCTGAGAGCATAGATGTAGTGAAAGCCTTAGCCAGTGTAGAAGGCTCAGACATGGTCCTCTTAACCTCCTCAGACACCACAGCAGAGACATTAACTGGCAGTGAGAACATATGGGTAACAGGCATAAGGGTTGCTGAAGAATGAACAGCTGTAGGCTTTGAAGGCAAGATACTGGCAGACAAAGAGATAGTTTTCATGTCTTCAGGGGTAGTGGGGAAACTGGTCTCCAATATCCTTGAGGTGGAAGCACCCAGAGGTTCAGGGAATATCTGTGTGATCCTAGAAGTAGGAGATGGAGTTGAAGTCCCTTTAGATATCTCTGAAGTCCAATGTGCTGTATAGGTGTGGGTAGAATTAAAGATTTCTGTAGTTTTATTGTATGAACTCTTAGGTGTGGTTTTCACCAATTTTGTTGATAGCCAACTTCCTCTCACCTCAGTAGTTGCAGTTTTATTATTCAAGGGGGTAGTCAACTTTTCTATATCAGGAAAAGGGGAAACAGTGACAGAAGCTGTCACCATTTGTGCTGAATCATCTGTCACTTCCAACATTGTTGAAAATGGAGAAACCTCAGTTACCGCTGCTACAGTTGATTTTCCCTTAAGATTATGGGAAGTTGTTTCTTTTCTTGCCACAGTAGAATTAAATCTTTGAGTTGTTGTAGACTTTGCTATAGGGGCTGTTGTATCTCCAAAGGCAATTGTACCATTTTTTTCCATTTGTGTAGTCTCAGAAGCACTTTCTTCAGTAGAAAAATTTTGTTTAATGTCAGCAAGAGTAGATATTATATCTACTGGTGAAACAACTGTCTCCCCTGGTGTCAAATGAAGTTCATTTTCAGCTACTGTGGACATAGGGATGGTTTTAAAAAGTAAAGTAGTAAATTTAAACTCAGGCATATTGGTTACAGATGTGGTTCCAGAAACTGTGGAGAACTTAGCAAACCATGGAGATGTCAATTTAGATAGAGCTGTTGTATATCTGGTTGTAGTAGCATCAGTGGTAGTAGTAGCCTCACTCTCTGTGGCTGCTTCTGGTGGGGTGATAATATCAGTAGTTGTGGATGAATGTTCTGTATTACTCCCATGGAATGCTGATGTGAAATTTTCATTAGGCACAAATGTAAGCATGGTGGTTGTATTCATAGATGTCAATAGTGTCTGGTCTGGCCTGGAAGTCCAAATGGTCTCATTGGTGGAGAATAGATAGGCAGCTTCATCAGTTGTAGATGTGGGAACTGACTCAGATACCTTGGATTTGGAAGCCAATCTAGTGGAAATCAAAGTATGCATGTGTTCACCAGCTGTGGGAGTTTTCTGGGTATATACTGGTCCTGTGATTGTGGGGGAAAGCATAGTTTCATCCTCTATAGGTGCAAGTGTGATTCCAGAGGTCAAGGCTGTATGTGTCGTTTCAGCACCAATAACTGTCTTTACACTCTGAGTTTCAGTAAACATAAAGGATGTTATGAAAGAATGGGCCATAGAGGAAGTGTTTTTTGGCGTGGAGGTAGACATGACATCTTCTACTCTGGATGAGGAAACATCCCGAAAATTTGTAGATGTCAATTCTGTTTCAGCTATTCCTAGGGCAGGAGTGGTCTCAACAAGTCTAGTTGGGAGAGTCACTGAATGGACGGTAAATGCTGCCGCCGCATCAGTTGTTGCCAATGTAGACGCTGTCTGATTTCTAGGAAATACAGAATCTGCGGGAGCAGCTGTGGAGATGAGCACAGACTCAGGTGGGAATGCTGATGCAGTCCCAATGAGAGCAGTTGTCGCTGAAGTCTCTTCCACTGTGGACCAAGGTACAGTTTCAGCAGCTGTAGATGCAAGAAACTTCTGGCCAGCTGTGGAGACAGGGAGTATCCAAATATCTGTGGATTTGTATTTGGGCCAAGATGCTGTAGACATGGACATTGACTCGATAGTCGAGACTAAAGATGTTGTCTTCATAACAGCCGACTGAGATTCAATTGCTAAAGTTTTAGATACAATTGAATTATTGGTAAATCCAAATGTGGACAGGAAATTAGTAGCTGTATTTGGATGAAAGGTCTCAGTAGCCTTGGCTTCAGCCATTTTTGTTGTCTTTGTGCTTTCTGAAGATGGAGATTTAGTTATTTTCAGGGAATTAGTGGTAGTGTCTATGGATGTATTCTGGATAGGCAGAGTGACAGATGCTGAAGTAGATAAAACATCTGCTGTAAGTGTAGCTGTCTCAGCTATGGATATCCTAAAAGTTTTTGGTGCAGTTGTTGTTTCTAGAGGTGGAAATGTTGTATTTAAATATGATATGGTTGTATAATCAGTAGCAAATATAGGCATGCTTTTAGACAACACTGTAGAGGAATGTGCAGTCTTTTGTGGTTTTAGTCCAGTAATTCGGGCTGGAGTTGTCAAATCTGTTTGTTGTGAAAGAGTCGTACTTGTTTCTTGAATTGTCACATTTTCAGAAACAACTGAAAAATCAGAAAGTATGTGTTACTTTGGATTCAGCTTTAGAAATCAGAAACAATTTTTTATGAGTGCTGTAATTTCTTTTCATTTTTAAAGAAAAGTATCACAGATATAATCGAATCGCTTGATTACTTGGTTTTTCTTAAGATAATTTTCTACTTTCTAAAATCTCTATATGGCTGTCATAATACCTTTGTTAAGTATCTAGTTGGAGGACATTCATTCCATAGTATCTCCATAGTAGATTATAAACAGTCCTAAAAGAAGGATACATACTAGAGTTGTACACTGATTAAGAGGGTTAGCTTCCGGAAAGGGGCCAATTCCTTGAAAGACACAGCTACCAAAACTCACTTAAGAAGAAATAGATAACTTGAATAGTCCTATGTCTATTAAAGAAATTAAATTGTGTAGTTTAAAATTTTCTAAATAATAGAATCAGCTTTAAATTCAAATAGATGTAGTTTTAAATCCTGTCTCCATCACTTTCACACTCGTTATGTAACCTTGGACTAGTTATTATATTTACCCTCTCTGTACTTCAATTTCCTCCTCTGTAATGTGAGGATTATACTAACACCTACCTTATAAAACTGCTGTGAGACTTAAGTGAGTTAATGTCCGTAAAACACTTAGCATAGCTCCTGGCACACAGTAAGTGCTCAAAAGATAGTTGACTTTGACTTGGTCAAATTTCTATCACTCATTTAAACACTACAGATTGAAAATATTTTTATCTGGAAACCCCAGATTAAAATTTCTTTAGTAGTAGTAATGATTTGAAAATACTCTTTTCATTGGCTTCTGTTATACAACACATTCTCAGGTTTTCTCCTACTTCCCTGGCCACTTCTTTGCAGACTCATCCTATTTTACCTGGACAAGGCTTTGTCCCAGTACCTCTTCCCTTCTCACTCTATTGTTTTCCTACACCTAGGATTTCAATTTACACGTATACACAGATGAATCTCAAAGTTATATCTCCAGACCAGATATCTATTTTGAGCTTTGCATTTATATAACCAATTGCTTACTTGGCATCATTTCTTAGATACCTTGTTAATGCCTCAAACTCAACATGCCCCAACTTGAATTTATTATCTTCTCTCCAAAATGAATCATCTTCTGGTATTCCATTAGTGGATGGCACCAACATACATTCAATTATACAAGCTAAAACCCTCTCCTTCTATAGACTTCATTCTCTCTCTCACCTGCCATAGCCAACCCATAATCTTATCCTGCATATCTTAGCTCCTATCTCTTGATTCCATCAATTTCTCTCCATTTCCATCACTTACTGTCCTAACCACCTTCACCTTTCACTCAGACTACTGAGGTAGCTTCCCAACTGAATTCTCTGTCACTACTCCTGGGCTCCCTCCAGTCTGTTCCGTGCTGTAACCAGAATGATCTTTTTAAAATGCAAATCTGATCATGTAACACACACACACACACACACACACACACACACACACATTCGGTTCTCTTTAGAGGCTTTCCATTGTTTATAGGATAAATTTTTTTAATTTATTTTTTATTTTTATTTTTATTTTTTAGAGATAAGGTCTCACTTTGTTTCCCAGACTGTAGTTCAGTGGCCTGATCATAGCTCACTGTAACCTTGAACTCCTGGATTCAAGCAATCCTCCTGCCTCAGCCTCCCAAGTAGCTAGGGCTGCAGGTGTGTACCACCACCCCTGACTAATTATATTTTTATTCTTTTTTATAAAGATGGGGGCTCACTATGTTTCCCAGGCTGTTCTCAAATTCCTGGCTTCAAGCGAGCCTCCCACCTTGGCCTCTCAAAGGGCTGGGATTACAGGCGTGAGCTGCTGCTCCCGGCTGAAAAATATTTTTTAATAGAGCCTATAAAGCTATATGGTTTGGTCCCTAACTCCCTTTCCAGTGTCAATTTGTGCTAAATCCCCTCTTGCTTTCTAGCCTTTGGCCACAAGCCTCCTTTTAGCCCTCCAATACATGGAATTCTCTTTCCCATCACAAAACCATTGCATGTGCTGTAACCTCTACATAGAATGTTCTTCCCACCCTTCTTCATCTGATTAATTTCTACTCATCCTTCAAATCTCAGTTCGGCATCACTGCTTCAGGGAAGCCTATCTTCCCTGACTTCCATGACTAGATCAAATCAATCTATTCTATGCTCTTAGGACACCTCACATCTCTTCTTTGTGGAACGTGTCACAACTACAGTTTTACATTTGTTTGTGTGTGTTTATTAATGTCTGTCTTCCTCACTAGACCATTATGGGCAGGGCCCTCATCTTTCGTTGCTCACCATTGTATCTCCAGTGCCTGGCACATGGTAGATGTTCAGTACCTATTTGTAGGCTAACTAAGGATGGAAATAACGAGGGCTTGGAATGACATGAGAGCAGTGTGATGATCCCTAACCCCACAGCTATTGGAAAGGAAGAATTGACAGCATACGATAACAAAGAGGCTTAAGACATTTAAAAAAAAAAAAATAGAATTCTCAGAGAACTCAAATGTTGCTTTTGGGCAACTCTGAGAATAGTGGTGATATTCATAGAAATAGGAAAATTGGAAAGGAAGCCTCACTCCGAAGAAAAATACCCAGTTCAGACTTGGATAAGTGGAATTTGGGGGGATGATGGAACATCCAAGTGAAACTGGTGCATAGTAAAATTCAAGGCGGAGTCATAATCTTTCTCTAATTCAAATCATCCAAAATGAAATCATGCATATTACCTTAGGGAAATTAGCATTTTGAATTTATGCACCTGAGAAGCATATTACCTATAATGTAGAAATGATTGTAGTGGTAGACAATTTACTAATTTGTTTCACTATCTTGAGCATTAAAATTGCTTTTAATTTGCACATCCAGAATTTCTCAAGTGTGTATAGAATGTTCTTTAGGATTTTGTGGTCATTACCAAGTAGAATGAGTGACAATCAGAAGCCTGCCATTGACTACATAGATGGATTGATAAAAGTACACATTTATAAGGGGAAAAGTCAAAGCTATATAAAAAGCACTTTTTCCATTTAACTTTATGTCACTGTTTCAATTATCACAGATACATTACGTTAGGCCTTATCAAGAAAAAACTGGTATATCACAGTATCACAATATGTATATCAAGCTTTCTGCTTTCAAATTTGTCCACAACTATAAGTAAATGGAGAATTGTCAGGATCTAGGTTTCCATTTTTGCAGATGGGTTTATATCAGCCAATTGGCTTAGCAAACCTCGGTGAAAGTGTCACTTCTAGCACATTGGAGAAGTGGGGCATTCCAGAGCCTGAATCACTCTGTGAGTGCACTAATTGTTGAGAAAAGGGTTCATGATTCCCACTCCTTTACAATTAATGATTGAACTGCATTCACATTTTAGGAAAACAATAAAATACTAAATACCACAAAAACCTAAGTTATCTTCTTTGTTGCAGCATTCAAAGAGAAACTAGTAGAGTAATACATAATGAGTAATGGAAAACTCTTTTATAAGACAGGGGATGGGAGTTAGGCTTGATATTTTTTATCAGAGAGGGCGAAGCCACAGATGTAGCAATTGTTATTAACACTTCCAGTAAGCATCTCAAAAAGGAACATACGATTTAGAAAAATAAAAACAAATGAGTTGCACAAAATTATCAAGCAGGTGGCATTTCAAGTACCAGAGATCTCTTAGGAAATAATGCATTTTACATTGCTCCATTTTAAGCTGAAGCCTGAGTTTGTATATTTCAGCAAACTTCCTATTATATCTTTCCAATGCAAGATTTCTTCCAGAGGGACTGCTGTATCAAATTTTTTTCTCTAAAGTCATTATTAAAAAAGACTCAAATCTTCATTCATTAAAATTCCAAAATTTTATAACCAGGTCTTGGAGATTGTATTCAATCCTTTCATTTAGAGATGAGGCCCAGATAGGTACAATGTTGAGAAGATGAGATTTTCACAGATGAAACATTTAGAGAATAAATAAGACAGTATGTAGTAATGCCTCAATTATCTAGCACCCGTAACACATGTTCTCGATTTACATGGAGCCACCCCAATCCAGAAGGAAGAAATGAACAAACTTCACCTAAAAGAACCAAGGAGAAACAAATTTAGATACTAAAAACCACGTTCTGCAATTGCTGAACAGGAACGGTGCAAGAAACAGCAATCATCTAAACAGTGAAACATAAACCTTAGAGAAGAGCATCACAATGCTAAATTAAAACATTAAGGTGGGCCGGTCCCGGTGGCTCACACCTGTAACCCTAGCACTCTGGGAGGCCGAGGCAGGAGGATCACTCAAGGTCAGGAGTTCGAAACCAGCCTGAGCAAGAGTGAGACCCATCTCTAGTAAGAAATAAAAGGAAATTAATTGGCCAACTAAAACTATATAGAAAAAAAATTAGCCAGGCATGGTGGTGCATGCCTGTAGTCTCAGCTACTTGGGAGGCTGAGTTTGAGGTTGCTGTGAGCAAGGCTGACGCCACGGCACTCACTCTAGCCTGGGCAACAAAGTGAGACTCTGTCTCAAAACAAACAAACAAACAACAACAAAAAAAAACCCAATGGGGGCCAGGCACAGTGGCTCACACCTGTAATCCTAGCACTCTGGGAGGCCGAGGCAAGCAGATTGCTCGAGGTCAGGAGTTCGAAACCAGCCTGAGCAAGAGCAAGACCCAGTCTCCACAAAAAATAGAAAGAAATTAATTGGCCAACTTAAAAAAAATATATATATATATATATATATAAATTTAGCCAGGCATGGTGGTGCATGTCTATAGTCCCAGCTACTCAGGAGACTGAGGCAGGAGGATCGCCTGAGTCCAGGAGTTTGAGGTTGCTGTGAGTGAGGCTGACACCACGGCACTCTAGTCCGGGCAACACCTAAAAGGACATATAGGAATAACATTTGTCAGGTGTTGGGAGGGTGGGAGGGGGGAGGAGGGGATATGTATATACAAACATAAGTGAGATGTGCAACATTTGGGGGATGGTCACGCTTGAAGC